ATTTAAATTTACACACTTTACTCCAAGCACTAACTTTACCTAAAAAACAGCTGAGCTGAGCCCAAACCAAAGCAAACTTTATCTACCAAAAGTTACCCATGAAAGGAAACATGACTACATTATTAAACTAGCTGATAACACCTGACTGGTTCTAAAATCTGATCAGAATCTGAATCTTTTCTGATCTCTGTGTTTTCCAAAGACAAATGTAAACTTGGTGCATCCCTGCTGCCACCTGATTGGCTGATCACTCTGCTAATGGCATGTTCTGTTTTTCTTTTTTCTTGCACTCTCACCACTTCCTGCCTGCTCCACCTCTCCACACGTTTTGTTCCATTTCCTGTTGTGGTTTTATTTTTATTGTGTTGGAATGATCCTTCATTGGGCCGTGGTGTTCCTCTGGCTTTCTCATTGGCTGATCCTCCTCTCATGTGTTACGCTGCATGGCCGACTGCAGCCCACCCGACGATTTTTCATCCCGCCCCAATCCCCAGACCTGTGTCAGTCCCCCAACTGCAGCCCCATCCACTCCTCAGAGGTCCGCCTTAATGGGGTGGGGCCCCGTGCACAAAACTCCCACTATCAGCCAAAGATGGGGTCTCCCCTTATGCATCCACGCACGCAAACCCTTCCTGCCAAGCCTAAAGTGTCCGAGAAGCCCCTGCAGACCACCAGGTCCAACCCACTCCCCAACACAGTTCAGACCTCTAGCACTCCTAAGTCTGAGCCCTCCACACCGAGCCAGCCTCTGGCCCCCTGCACCCCCAACAGTCCCCGGGTGAGACGTCAGCCTCCCCTTACTGTCCCCCCAAAACTCTCCATCCCGCTGTCCCCAGTGCCCCCTATGTCCCCGCTCCGCCGCCACCTCCACCCTGACCACAATGGCAAATCTGTCCCCCTCACACAGGTAACCCCCCACCCTTCCCCCAGAGGAAGTCCTCTCCCCACCCCAAAAGGCACACCTGTGCACACGCCCAAAGACAGCCCAGCAGGCACGCCGAGCCCCACACCACCACCGAGCCCCTCTATCGGGGGGATGCCCTGGAGGACGCGCCTCAACTCCATCAAGAACAGCTTCCTGGGCTCGCCACGCTTCCACCGCAGGAAAATGCAGGGTAATTCACTTCAACCTGATTGTACACTGCCATGTTCAACAACCAGAAATAATAAATCAAATCTACATCAGGAATCAAATCAAGCAAGGCCTGACTAAGATGGTCTGCACAAGTCCACAGGAGAGACAGTGGGTATTTTGGTTTCTATAGTCCAGATGTAGTTTCTATGGTCCATATGGTCCAGGTGTAGTTTCTATGTTCCAGGTGTACTTCCTATGGTCCTCATGGTCCAGGTGTAGTTTCCATGGTCCAAATGGTCCAGGTGTAGTTTCCATGGTCCAAATGGTCCAGGTGTAGTTTCTATGGTCCAGGTTTAGTTCTTATGATCCATATGGTCCAGGTGTATTTTCCTCTGGAAGAGAGACAAAGAAAACATGATATTGATAGAAATAATAAGAATAAACATGTAGAGAAGAGAGACTAAAGACAACAGCAGAGTGAGGAAATGTGCTCAGTTTGTGCTCCAGCAGTCTAAGTCTATAGCAGCAGAAATGAAGAATAATTCAGGAAACCTAAGTCTAACTATAGGATTTCTGAAAAAGGAAAGTCTTCAGTCTAATCTTAAAAGTAGACAGAGTGTCAGCCTCACGGACAGAAACTGGAAGTTGGTTCCACAAGAGAGGAGCTTGATAACTGAAAGCTCTGCCTCCCATTCTACTGTTAGAAACTCCAGGAACCACAAGTAAACCTGCAGTCTGACAGTGAAGTGCTCTGTTAGGAAAGGATGGAACAATAAGATGTTTAATATATGATGGAGCTTGGTTGTTAACAGCTTTGTATGTTAGGAGGAATATTTTAAATTCTYTTCTGAATTTGACAGGGAGCCAGTGGAGAGAAGCTAAAACTGGAGAAATATGATCTCTCCTTCCAACTCTCATTAAAACTCTAGCAGCAGCATTTTGGATRAACTGAAGACTTCTTCAAGAGGTTTTTGGATGTCCAGATTATAAAGAATTACAGTAATCCAGTCTAGACCTGATAAATGCATGAATCAGTTTTTCTGCATCATTTTTGGACAAAATGTTTCTAATTTTAGTGATATTACACAGGTGGAAGAAGGTGGTCCTGGTAACATTTTTAATGTGGGGTTAAAAGACATGTCCTGATCAAAAATAACACCAAGGTTCTTTACATRAGAACTGGAGGCCAGATTAATGCATCCAGAGGAAGTTAGAATTTAATCTTCCTAATTTTCTGAAACTTCCTGAAGACATTTGATATCATCTTGTTTTTCATGTAATAATTGATTTAGACAAGTGTTTCTGCATCAGAATGTTTCCTGTAGCTCTAGAGAAAAGTACCAATCTTCTCCATGCTTCTTATCTCCTGCAGCTGATGTTATCTGCAGCCTCATAAAGACATTAACTACCTCATTACACAGAGTGGAAAAAATGCATTTTTTCTTTTGTTTCCTGTCAGAAGTATGTTTTTGAAGATTTGTTCCTAAAGTTAAAAGCAGGGTGAGTACCCTTTGACCTTTGACCTTTTCTGATATCCACAGTCCCCACCCAAGAGGACATGTCCAGCCTCACCCCAGACTCTTCTCCAGAGTGAGTATGACTGGAGCAAACCATATTTTACCATCACTGAATGTGTTGTAGATGGAACTGTTGGCTGCACACAGGAATGTGTCCAAACTGATGGAAACATCAGATTTTACAATAAACGACAGTGGAACAATAATCCACAGTTATCACTCACCACCACAGGCCAAAGAGCAAGAATGTTTTTACTCGTAGCGTATCGGTGTGTTTTTATGTCTGATACCAACTGATGACCAGAACAATTACATCAGATTTACTTTCCAAACCCATTCAAGATGGCCGCCACAGCCAACAAACCCTAGCAGCTGCTCTGCTAACATCTTAGCAGTAATGTTTTGATGAGTGTGGCTGACTCAGCTTGTTGTTGCAGTTTTATGTGTGGTGTAGTCCTGATGTCCACGTGTCTCCTGTCTGCAGGCTGGCTAAGAAGTCCTGGTTTGGAAACTTCATCAACCTGGAGAAAGAGGAGCAGATCTTCATCGTGATCAGAGACAAGCCTCTCAGCTCTATAAAGGCCGACATTGTCCACGCTTTCCTCTCAGTAAGTCTCCTCATCCACGCTCCAACCAAGTACTGCTGAGTCAGCAGTCACACCGCTGCTTTCCTGTAACTACTTCCTCATACTTTGTGTTGTTTTAACATTTCAACTTTTCAAATTAAAATGAAATCTTCTCAGAAAAACACAAAGACTTCTTTAATTCAATCAAAACCTTCTTCTCTTTCAAATCAGACTCAGCAGATTAGCTCTTAGACCACTTTTAGCCACAGTTTCTTTTAGCTTTTAGGTATCATTCTCCTCATTTTAGCTTTTAGTTATTGGTTCACTGCTTTGAGCTGAATGTTTTAATACTTTACCTACTTTTTAGCTCCTATTAGCTGTTCGCTACCAGTCTGTTTGTTCTACCTTTATTTCTACAGTAGTTGTCCACATGTGGCCTGAACAGAATCTTAATGTCTCCTGTCCATCCTGTCCATCCTGTCCATCCTGTCCATCCTGTCCATCCTGTCCTTCTGCCTTGTCTTGTCCTCTCATGTCCACCCCGCTGTGTGTCTGTCCTGTTTTCTCCCAGATCCCCAGTCTGAGCCACAGCGTCATCTCTCAGACCAGTTTCCGTGCAGAGTACAAGTCCACGGCCGGTCCGACGGTTTTCCAGAAGCCGGTCAAGTTCCAGGTGGACATCACCTACACCGAGAGCACCAGTAGCACCAAGGAGAACGGCATCTACTCCGTCACCTTCACCCTGCTGTCAGGTGAACACACGATGCTTCATCTGCTGCTCTGACCATTAATGTCCCAGTCTAACAGCTGGACACATCAAACAAACATTAAATCAACTTTGTCAATAAAATGTCAGTCAGGTATAATATTTGTCTTTCCTGTAGTCTGAGTCAGTTTTCATTCTGCTTTACTTCTTATATATGAGTACTTCTGCATACATTTTTAAAGAAATATGTATCCAAACCTTTGGCTCATTCAGGAGGTGACCTCTGGTTTCTGTAACTTTTCAAACTTTAACAAAATGTTTCTTCAGTTCCTTCAAAAACTTTGTTTCTTTCTCTTTAAACTTTGCTTCAGCTCTGTTTTTGTCTTCTTATGTCTTCTTTAGCTTTTAGCTACTCTTCTGCTACTTTTAGCTTCAACCCAGCCTTGTTCTGCATTTAGCTTTTAGGTAGCTGTTTGGTTATGTTTAGCTTTAATCTAGCCCCTTGCTGTTTTTAGCGTGCATAAAGATTTCAGTTACAGGTTACATGTGATGTGTGAAGTGATGAGTGTTTTCCAGTTGAGACTGTTGGAAAGAAGCCTTTCTGTCCCTGTGGGTGAAGTCCTGTTAGGCAGCAGTCTGAACCTGCAGGCTGTTCTGCTTCCTCCTCAGGTCCGAGCAGGCGTTTCAAGCGTGTGGTGGAAACCATCCAGGCCCAGCTCCTCAGTTCCAGTGAGCAGCCGGGCATCCAGCCTCAGATATCTGGTAAGTTCCCTCCTCAGTCCTGGCACAGCTGGGCTTGTCCCACTGCTTTCAGCACACAGCATCTCCACGTGCATGTCCCTGCCACATCCCCATGGCGTGCACACCAACACAAGCAGCACAGCAGAGTTAGGGATGTTAGGTGAGAAGCTCAGGTCCCACTCAGACAGTCGGTCCAGCTAATGGATGTTTCTGTTTGGAGGTTTTTTGTCATGTAGACAGGAAGCTTTCAAAATCTACTCCTGATTTACCAGCTGCCTGAGAGAAGAGGGATGAAATGAACACATTTGGAAGAAAAGAAAGAATGCTCTCCAGCTGTCTTTGTTTAATTTGTAGTTGTTGTTGTTGTCGTCCTATTTGTGGTTATTTCCTTGATAATGGTGCCCTCTAGTGGTAAGTCAAAGTAACTACAACCCAATCACACAGTTGTGTCACACAACAAGACAGACGTAGTCTCCACTACACTCTGTCTGTTGAATGTGTGTGAGCTGAAACAGCTGCAGTCACTGCCACTGATGGGAACTGTTATCAGGCACCGTGTGTGTCACTGTGTAGATGTGCTGATAACCCACATCACTTCCTGCTTCCTCCGTGCCCACCTGCTTCTGTCATCCACACCTTCACTCTGACACCTTTAGGATGGACTGAAWATGTTGCATGCTGACAGAGAAGCAACACACAGACTGGTGAACATTACAGTCCAGATGTGCAGCAGAGCATGAGTTCCACTGTTTGTCACATCAGCAGTTATCACAGAAACATGTCAGAATGATGGAAACTGCATGTCCAGTAAAATACTTTTATCACCTGGTGTGGATAAAAGCTTGTTTCATGTTCCAAGAATCTTTCATTTTCAGAAGTTAATATTTCTTTTGTCTCCTTCGTTCTGAATAGATTGAAGCAGTTTTTAAATCAAAAACAGGCTCCTTATGTTTGTCTTTGCTTTTTCTCAACAATCTTCATTCAAGTTGTCAAAACTTTGACAGATTAATTTTTATACTTTGTTAGTTATAAAGAAATGGAAACATGGCTGCTGACTGGAGAAAAAAACATCAGTTCAAGCCCAGCCTGCAGCATCTGTTGTTGCCAGTATCTGTTGTAAACATCTGCAATAGATTTACAAATGATCAGATTAATAACAGTTTAGGTTTTCAATCAAACTGGTCAATGACCCAACTTTACACAGAAAACACAGCTTCTTTCTATTCATCAACTCAAACCAGGGTTTCTGCAGGGTTCTATGGGGTCGATTTAGCAAAGATTAGTTTGTATAAAACCATGAACAAACCTGATGCACACAGAGCTAATTTACTAACGGTGCGCAGTGAGGACTGCATCTGTCAGATGATTAAAACAGCAGCAGCAGCCCATTCAGCATGTCAGACTTCATGAATATGCAGATTATATGATGATTAGCAGATACTGGGTGGAGGATATGCAGARAYAATCYTTTTACACCCACAGTGTGAACTGGTCGTGTCATTGTTTAGTGTCTATATTTAGTACATCTGAAAGTCAGGTGCACACTGTCAGCACTCTGCTTCAGACGCTGTTGTCCCCTCTGCTTTGCAGTGTGTCAGTAAATATCCTACAATTTACTGTTTGGGGTTTAGTGCAGAGTTGAGTCGGAGCATTGTGTGTTCTCTCCTGCAGCAGGTCAACACACAGCGGCTGGAGKTGCTTCTCAAGATCTAGCAAACTGGTAACATGTAGGAGTTTGTGTTGGAGCTTATTTCATGTTTGATTGGGGGGGGGGTTCCTGCAGACAGGATGTCACTTACATAGTGCTGGTCAGGGTCCCCTGAATCACTACCAGTTCAAGCCCTTGTTGACATATCCTCCTGGGGAATTTTTAGGTAACGTGCCAGCCGAAGGCCAGTAGCTGGGTTCTGAAAAGATAAACACAATTGTTTTGGAACAAGCAGCCTTGAATTTCTTTGCTGCTTTCAGTCTTTAGTGCATCTCTGAAAATGGTGAAAAAAAACAAATGTTCCGAATTCTGTGTCTTCTCGCCTCTCTCCAACTGAAGCTTCACCCAGGTGTAATCCTTATATCCCAGAGGCACGCTCCCGTGCTGCGATTCTTGTCAGAATCATGTCCAGTTTGYGACTTACTTCCCCCAGCATCTGAGTCTGTGTGTTACCAGTATGGGAGATTCCATCCATGGTTCCTGACAGCTTCTCACAGGCCCAGACTGCTGTCAGGATCACTTTCAGTTTACGATAAGCCAGAACTCCTCCACAGCCGATCAGCAGGAATCCAGTTATCTTAAATCCAAACATGAATAAATCTTCCATGTCTTCAATGGAAAGCAGTGCCAAACAGATCAGGTTCCAGCCCCAAGAACCAGTGACCCGACCAGCAGCAACCATTCCACTGGAACAGCTGCGCTCCCCTTGTTCCAATCTCAATGTGGAAAAAATAGTGTTGATTGTGTTCAGAGACCAGTTGACCAAATCCATAGTTCCTTTTGTTTCAGATGATAGATAGAAGAAAGGCTTGACAAAGRTGTGAAGCAGGAAAGGAGGGACGGGTTCAGGAGAGAGCAAAAAGTGTAAGACTCCTCTGAAGACCAAGTGAAGAACTTTGCGGTGCAACAATCCTCTCTGGTTGTAGTCTGCCTTGAGCAACCATAACCTTCACAATATGTGGAGGTACAACTGACCACTGTGACATCTGCACCACATGCTGGTAACTGTACCCTGACCTGATGGAATCTCACAGCAGGAACCTTATCAGACTCCATCATGTGATGGTGATGATGGTAGTGATGATGGTAGTGATGACGGAAGTGATGATGGTGATGATGGTAGTGATGATGGTAGTGATGATGGTAGTGATGGTAGTGATGATGATAGTGATGATGGTAGTGATGATGGTAGTGATGATGGTAGTGATGATGGTGATGATGGTAGTGATGATGGTAGTGATGATGGTAGTGATGGTGGTAGTGATGATGGTAGTATGATGGTAGTGATGATGGTGATGATGGTAGTGATGATGGTGATGATGGTAGTGATGGTAGTGATGATGGTGATGATGGTAGTGATGATGGTGATGATGGTAGTGATGGTGGTAGTGATGATGGTAGTGATGATGGTAGTGATGATGGTAGTGATGGTAGTGATGATGGTGATGATGGTAGTGATGATGGTGATGATGGTAGTGATGGTAGTGATGGTGGTAGTGATGATGGTAGTGATGATGGTGATTATGGTAGTGATGATGGTAGTGATGATGATGATGGTGGTAGTGATGATGTTAGTGATGATGGTAGTGATGGTGGTAGTGATGGTGGTAGTGATG